GGTAGGTTGGTAGGTAGGTGGGTAGGTAGGTCGGTAGGTAGGTAGGTAGGTAAGTAGGTAAGTAGGTAAGAAGGTAAGTAGGTAAGTAGGCAGGTCGGTAGGAATGTATGTGCGTGTGTGTATTTGTTTCGTGCAGCGCTTTCTGCGCACATGCCTGAAATACCGATTATTGCGATGTTTGGTGCTCGGACACAAAGCGTTCGTGATCTCATGTTTGCAGTAACAATGGCACCCGTTGAAACAGTCCTGCTGGTAGTAAAAGGAACAACACTAACTTACCTTAATGCTACTGTGCGCATCTGCTCAGATTGCTCCTGGACTCTTGTACCGGTAGTAATGGTATTGCGAGAATCCGAACCCAGGCCGGTGTTTGTGATGGTTCCACTGGCCATGTTCGAGGTCCGGGAGACTGGGCTTTCGGCTTCTTCGTGTCGTGTTTACGGATAAGGGTTCTAAGTTTGAGGTCTAGGATTTAGGATTGTGATCCAGATTTAGGGCTTGTTAGGGCTTATGAGCTTGGGGTTTTTTTTTGCCGACAAATACAGAGTCTTCTGCATGGCTTCTGCGGGGTTCATGTGGCGTACGGGTATGGGGTTTCGGGGTTGTTCGTGCCGACGGCTAGAACTTCATTTTTTTGGGCTTTTTGGGATCCGAGATCCTAAGGCCGCAGTGTATGTTTCCGGATTTGGTAACTTAGTGAAGTGTGTAACTACTTCAGCTTGAATTGAGTGTATATCTTGTGGCTTCAGGCAAGCCTCAAGCGAAAAGGCATTGCAGACAAGACGGCAAGTGTGGTCAGTGCATAACTAGGTTTCCAGCTTAGACGGCTCCACTACCTCTCTGTGGTTCGTGTCTGTAGTTTCTGCTTTGTAGCATGTCGTGATGAGCAGGGCATGACTCTTGTACAATGATAGCAGCCTAATATCTCTAATAACTTATGTATATATGTATACATAAATATATATATATATATATGTATGTATATATAAACGTGCGTGTGTCTATGAACACATGTATGTATTTACATATGAAGGTATGTACGTGTTCATGCATGCATATATGCATGTATGTATGTTTATGTAAGTATGTATGCACGCATGTATCTATGCATGTGTGTGCGTAGGTTTAAGCAGTTTTCATGTTTATTCTGTTTTGTTTTCATGCATTTGTGTAATTGTTTGCTTATTGTGGACTGCTTTTTTCTGTTCATTCATTGGCTATTTCTTTGGCCGCTCTTTATTTGTTCATTGTGTTGAATTTTGTGTACTATTATTTGAGTTGCATATGAGCTGCGATAATTCTTACATAGTATATATACATGTAGACACGAGTGTGGACCTGTCTGTGTACGAGGCCATGCTCATGCAAGCAGCTTCCTCTGGCGACTTGCGCCAAGATCGATAGGGATTGGAGTCAGGGGACTTCAAATTCATGCGTGGTTAGGCTTTGCGGGGTCTTGTGTGGCATCAGGGTCTGTGGGTTTGGGCACTTGGGGGTGGGGGGCGCACTTATGCGCACTTCAGATTGACACCGCACCTCTACTTTGCAAGTCTTTGTCCTCTGGTTTGGTTTTTTGCGGAGTTCGAAGCAGGTGCGAACAGCTACTTCCTTGAGGGTGGCGCGTTCGGAAGGGGTTTGTGGTCTTCGCGTTGCAGCTTCTGAGTGCGGCTGTGACGCATGAGGTCAGAGTTTGTGCCTTTCTTAAACCTTACACTTTCCAATCCAGACTGATTTTCAGCATGTCAAGCTGCCTCAGGCATGCAGCTGATGATGATGCCAATGAACATGGACATGACGCCTACGGAGCCGCTTGTCTGCCGGTGTGATAGAGGTTGTATCGAATTAGCAGTTCACGGCAGGTGTATGAGCGCATCTGTAGCCTGAAACACTGACCGTGACGCGTAGCCTCCCAACGAAAACCAGACACACGTTTGTCTCCCGTGCTGCAGTGAATCCCAATAAGCCACACATGCGGGATCCAATATCAAACGCATCGAGGATGTCATTTGACTGATGTCTCTCAGTATCCGCCAGCGTCGAAAAGCAGAAAGCAACACGCGGGACATACTGATTAGGGGTGTGCAGTTGAGACTAATCATTCAAATTCTGTCTGCACTGCACCAGGCCCTCTTTTGCATCAGGTAGCAGGCGTCTGATCTCCGAGCCACATGTTCCAGATGGCCCATGCGCAGTGCGAAGCAAATGCAATAATCCTACCAATAGCACTGTGAAAGTATACGACATTGAATAGTAGCAACGGTACACGCAGACGCAGTCGTAGTCGTCGTCGTCGTCGTCGTCGTCCTCCCCGTCCTCGTCCTCGGCGTCGTTGTCGTCGTCATCGTCGTCGTTTAGTAGTAGTGGCAGTCGTCGTGGTAGCGAGGCATAATCGTAGTCGTCGTCGTAGTAGTAGTAGTAGTAGGAGTAGTAGTAGTTGTAGTAGTAGTGGCAGTAGTAGTAGTAGCAGTAGTAGTAGTAGTAGTAGTAGTAGTAGTAGTAGTAGTAGTGATAGAAGTAGGAGTAGCAGTAGCAGTAGAAGTAGTAGTAGCAGTCGTGGTGGTGGTGGTGTAGGAGGAGGAGCAGCAGCAGCAGAGCAAACTACTTCTACATTCTACAAACAATGTTTGGAATGCAGCAGGAATGTCTCGCAGGTTCACGGCCGATTGGACGACAGCCGATGAGGTCGCTCCGTTTTGAAGGGACTGTGCTCGAAAGGAAGGTTCAGACTCAGCGGATGTTTTTTTTTTTCGGGAGGTTCGGGTTTACAATGTATGATGCACCCGAATGGTGTTATGGTTCTGCGTGCAGCTGCGGGAAGACTGCAGATTAGCAAAGCAACGGAGTCTTCGATTTGAGGTGATATTTCGAGGCAGTTGTGGCACGAGCTGTGTCAAAAGGCGCCCCCTCCCGCATTGATACGTCAGCAGCAGCCCCAGGTCAGGTTGATGTGTTCATGGGGCTTGTGATACGATTCGAGGTTTGGGATTGTCCTGAAGTGCAAGGAAAAGGAAAATACACCAGGAAGTAACACTGTCTTCGTGTCACATCGAACTTCAAAACTGCACCTCGGGCCCTAGAATGCTCGTTTGCACAGGCCGGGACAACGGCCTGCTTCCCTGATGTGGACAAAGCCGAAAAGGAGCAGGACAGCATGCAGCGAAGTGTGACGAACATGTCATATGGTACCTCGAACTGAAGTATCGTGCTCGCATGCTTGGCATCGAACTTGCTTTGCTGCGGTTGATCGTGCTTCTTAGGTTAACCCTCAGGTTTGTTCGGGCCTTTTCGGGCAATGTAACGGAAAGAGCCGCAGACCAGAAGCCCATCCGGCTTATTCTATGTCAGGAGCCCACTGAGCAGTCTCTCCCCCAGACTACTGCTGGTGGGGTTTAGGTTCAGGGAGGGCATTCCGCAAGGGTCAACGGAGCAACTCAGGACTTTGGGAGAGGTGTTGGGGAAACTTCTGTCCGTGTGCTGCTGCTAGGACCAGGGTTTATGTATGTTGACAGAGGTCTTGTTTGGATGATTTGGCGCTTTGCGGCTTGAGGGCACCCCCGGGCCTTGGCGCTGTTGCGAATCATGTAGTAGGAGGGTTCTTGTAGCTACTGCACATGAGGTTGTGTGTTGGCCGGGGTCACACTTGCAAGCTTACAAGCACCCTCAACATTACAACCCCCATATCCGACTCAAGCGGTACACGTGCTTGCTTAAGCAGATCCCTCACAGGAGCCTTGTGGAATCCATGTCAAGATTTCTTACAGGAACCCTCTTCGATCGCTGAAACTGGTTCCGTGAAGGAACCCTTATAGGCGAACTCTCCAAGCTCAAGGGGTTTGAGGTTTCACGCGTCTGCGATTTAGAGTTCAGGGGTTGATTTGCAGTGTCGGGTTTGGGGGTTGAAGGATTTCGGCTTAGAGTACAGATCCCTTCGCAGACAAACAGCTTGAGCTCCAGCCTGAACCGGAAACCCCAAGTCGGTCAATCTTATTTTTTGAGCTCGAGGCCATCTGGCTGCGAAAGTGACGATGACTGTGATTCCATTTTCTGGGAGCCACTTGTGTGGGACCCGGCAATTAGTCCAGGGGTTTAGGCTTGCACTTTGAGGAAAGTCTAGTTTAAGCCAGGTGTCTCCGAGATTGGGGTGCTAGAGCCCGAAGGCGCAAAGCCCTGAACCGTCCCTTGGCCGTAAACCTTCAGTGAGTAAACCAGGAAAACTTCTGTATGGCACTTGTACAAAGGGAGGCGCTTTACCTTCGTGTGCTGCTGCTGTTGCTGCTAGTGCTGCTGCTTACTGCTGTCGCTGCTACTGCTGCTAGTACTACCACTACTTCCAGTTTTACTCCTACTAGTGCACTACAACTTACAATTACTACAACTACTACTGCTACTACTACCACCACTACTCCTACTGCTAGTACGAGTATTATTGCCACTAGCACCAGTACTACTCCTACCAGTGCCACTACTCCGCCTCCGATTACTGCTACTGCTAGTACCTGTATGAGTGCTAGTGCTATTACTACCGCAACTACTACGACTACTACTTCTGCTGCCATACTACTGCTGCTTCTGCTACTGCCACTGCTGCAGCTGCTACTCCAGCTGCTGCTCCTCCTCCTCCTCTTCCTCCTAGGAGTCCTACTACTACACTACTACTACTACTACTACTACTACTACTACTACTACTACCACTACTACTGTTACTACTACTACTACTACTACTACTACTACTATCACTAGTACTACTACTACTACTACTACTACTATTACTCCTACTACTACTACTACTACTACTACTACTACTACAACTACAACTACAACAACTACAACTACAACTACTACTACTACTACTACTACTACTGCTGCTCCAAGTACGACTGCTGTCTACAAGAGAAGAACAGGAATGATTACAGTAATGCTCTGCAAAACCGCGCATGTTTCATCATCACAATACCGCTGCTTCCAATATTTGCATTCCTACTTCTTTGGCTGCAGTCCAGGCCTTGTTACATGTTACCAGGGCGCCCATCCTGCCTATGCAAAGTTACCCTGCTCGTCAACAGGGCTTAAACCTTGACACCAGTCGTCTTAGGGGTCCAGAATGCGCGAGAGTTGTAGAAACTAGGGGCCCAAATGCCGTCAGATATTCCAATTTGAAACCCTTCGCATAGATGTATTTATGTATATGGCTGATGCTTTTGTAAAAAAATGCAACCTACCCAGACACTGACACTGTGACACCCGATTTGCTCTTTTCAGCCACAGCTGCACACACAGTATTACGGAACGCTCAGGCCTTCAAGCGTCAGATGACCATTTGGGTGACCTGGTTTGCCATCCCAAAGTCGGGGGTGTCACCGTTTCGCCATAGATTGCTTTAAGCCAATTCATTACATGTCTCGTAACGCCCGGGATCCCTTGATCGCAGCGAAGTCCGCAACAGCCTGTACTGGGCTGGAACTGCAACACGTCTGGGGCCATGAGTTTTATTTTGGTCTTGGACATGTTGTAGGCTTCGGAACTTGCTTAAGACACGCTGACTGTGCTCAAGGTCCAGGCTTTGACACTGCTTTGACGCAAAGACCCGTCATGTTCCGGTCAGCTGCCCAACGAAGGGCCTGCTTGCCACATCCTCACAGCATGAACTGTGACATTGAAAAGGGTGGGCACTTGTCACATCCAGCGGTTGTGGGGAGGCCGACAGCCAGGCTTCCGGAAAATCCCCTGCTGTTCGGGCTTTGCGGGCCTCGTGCTGTGTCTCGAGGACGAGGATACAGACCCACCGTTTGCACCAGAATGCTTTGATCTGCTGCTGCCATGCAGCATGTAAAGCTTCTACGAGGAACGAACTCATGTTCGTAAACGTACATTTGCTTGTGTACAAACACATGCATGTACATCTGTACCGAATATACGCGTGCATATCTTTCTATATATAAATATATGTATGTATGTATGTATGTAGGTATGTATGTATGCATGCATCCATGCATGTATGTATGTATGTATGTATGTATGTATGTATGTATGAATATATGTATGTATATATGTATGAATTTATGTATGCGTGTGTGTGTGTGTGTGTTTGTGCGCGCGTGTGCGTTACTTGTGTATATATATATATATATGTATATGTGTGTGTGTATGTGTATGTATATATATATATATATATGAAGGAGAGCTCCCTTTAGGGTCTACTTTGAGGGGCTAGGGTTCCTCCGCAGTCCATGGAAACCTCGAACATTAAAGCCTTTTTGCAATATGTCGGGTCTGACTCACCTCTTTTGATCTTTTCAACCGCAGACCGTCCAAGAACAGTTTTTTTAAAACTCCGTACCGAGATATTTCAATTATGTTAATTAATCAGGAAAAGGCCGAGGTAGGAGGCTGTCCACCCCAAGTAGAGTAGTGTACATTGCTTGCTTAACTTGTTTCATTTTTTTCACAGCGCAAGCCGCCAAAAATAATGAACATCGTAACGATAGTTATTGGTACATGTATTCTAAGGTACGAGGCTTCCCACCCCAATGTACATCATCAAAATAAGTAAAGCCCTGCTGGGTAGACTAGTTTAGAGCATTGAAACCATACGTCTGTAGACACACTCCTGACCCAAGACCCCAAGATGACTCACCTTGAATAAGTGCTTCCACTGGCCCCCTTTGGCTCGAATCTCCCCACGCAATCGTGCAGAACGACCTTGAGGACGGGAGAGGTGCGCGCTCGTGCTCGAGCGCTTTGCGCCGGCCGAGCTGCTGCGACCTGGGAAGGGGGGATCGGGGTGCGGGCCCTTGCGTCAACCCTAAACCCTGTGATCAAACACAAGCTTAGACTACAACTCCCGAAGTTAAGCCCAGCCCAAACTCGAAACCTGCCAACCCGCCAGTCCCAGATCAAATCGTAAACGTGATGCTTGAAATCCGAAATCGTGGACCTTAGTTGCATCAATTGAGCCCTCACTTTTGCTCCTAAAGCTGTGCCACAGGCTTATATACTCATCCGACACTTGCAAGTTTACTCCAGATCCACGACTTTAGTCGGCTAAGCAGACAAAAGCTCAACACGTTTACCCCGAGACCCAGACCTTAACAGCAGGACACCTAGCAAGCCCATAGTTTACAAACCTATTCCCCAAACTCTAGATACGAAGCCTTGAATGGAAAGCCCAGCACCTTGAACCCTAAACCCGAAGACTGAGGCGTGACGCCGCGGACCCAATAATTTTTTTCTGCTACTCCCGCCTGGATTCCAAGTGTCGGCGAGTGCACCGGCCCTCCGCTCGGTTGCATGTTTTGAGCCGTCTTTCCACCCTGAACTCTGACCCTGAACTCAAACCATCTCGCGCTCTCGCCAGGACATTCTTGCCACTCGGGGCATCTCATTGCCTTCGACTCGAGGTGCATCCGTTTGACAGAATCTTATCGCAAAATGGACCCAGGTGTCGCTGTTCAAAGGGGCTTATGATGAGGGATTCTGCATGCTGTTGCATTTCCGGATGGTGAAGCTGCTGCTGTTGTTATTGTTGTTGTTGCTGTTGCTCTTGCTGTTGTTGTTCATTGTTGTTTTTGTTGTTGTTGTTGTTGTTGGCGGTGGTGGTGGCGGCAAGCCCGATGGCCCGAAGTCCGAAGCGCGGAACCAAGACGTCCGAAATGAAATGCGAAGCCCTCATACAAGGATTTGAGCCTGGCCTTTGACAGTGAAGGTAACTCCAGTCAAATCTACTTATGACCCAACTTTAGGTCACTAAACCAAAGTCGCTAAGTCGCCTGATCTTTCATGCAGTGCGTCGGGTGGCTTCAGAGCTTAGCTTGAAGGCTCTACCTGGACCCTAAAGAACCTGCCTTTTTTTAGGGTTCCTTATAATGATTTCTTTGAACAAAAGCTTAGAAAGGTAGGTCATTTGGGGTTAAGTTAAGGCTACGGTGTTAGGTCTCAGGGTTTCAATTTCGCTTTCGGGATTTTTGGAGTCTCAGGTCAAGGCTTGAGGGGCTGAGGATTTGTTGGCGCATTGAGCTTCGCAGTTTCAGGGTCTGAAGGCCTCTCAGAGTTTATCCTGTTCGGCTTTACAGACGGCCTGCAACTTTGGGCGCCATCTGCGACTTTGAAGATCCAAGCTTTAGGATCAGAGTCCCCAGATTGTTTTCTTGATTGTTTTGTATTCGGGCTCAAAAGCTTCGGTTGTTCTGAACTCCGCGAATGCGCTCCCTTTTCTTGGTCGCTCCCTTCAGACCCCGTATTACAAGAGCCATACCGGTTTTAGCACCAGAGTCCCTCACCGCCGGAAACTCTCACATATTCTGTGCCCACAGCCGCAGACAGAACATCGACAGTATCCGAAATGCAGGGGCCAACAACTTCTACTCCCAAAACCCTGACATAGCCTGAACCGAAAGGCCTGAAACCCACATCCAGAAAGGCCGAATTCGGAACCCAAAGCCACTGAGCACCCCACTTCCACCGGTCTGCGAGTCAGGTGATGCAGTGGCTCGGCCCTCAAATCAATGGCCAGCGAGCTCCTTGGGCTGCGAGCTCAGGCTGTCCTTGGCTGGAGTGCGCCGAAGCCAAGATTGTTCGGGGCTGGTGAGTGTGGGTTCAGGTGGGGTGTTGGGCAGAGAAGCCCTGGCATGTAGGTTTCCGGGTCTTACAGTTCGTGGCATCGGTTGCGGGTGCAAGGTCCACAGCTCTGGAATCTATATGCCTGGACACTCAGCCTCGGAGCACCAGCTCTAACACGCTAAACTTCCAAGGCTGACTCAGACTCTCAGCCTCTCAACTTAGCACCACAGGCTCCAAAGCCCAGATCGGCCCAAGCCACGAGCCTGAACCCTGAGGCCTGGCGTCAGGCGGGCCTTTCAGAGCCACCACAAGGAATACTGCTGATCGGGTTTATGGGTGGCTCTTGGTCACATGTCGCTGCAGAATAGATGTGAAGCCTTTCCAACCCCGTCGGATTTTGTTCGAGGCCGTGGAGCTTTGGAACTTTTTGAACCCGTCACAGCTTGGCTTCAGTGTAGTTTGTGGTTCAGATGTATTTCCTTAGTCTTCTTATTTCGCTCTACCTTGGACTCAGACCCACAGACCTCAAACAAAAAAACTACTGCCATTGATTTCGTGAGGATTGCTCGCGCTGGGGTTTTGGAACCTTTAAGATCTCGTGCAGGCTGTTGTGGGGCTTGGACTCAAGGCTTCAGCGCTAGGCTTTCGGTTTTCGGTGTTTTGGGGTTCGGTGGGTTCGGGCTCTGGGCCGACCTAAGCCCTAATTATATGCTTCCCTTAGTCATGCAGTTGTCGCATGTCGATGTGGAGACCTCTTGTAATCGCAGTCGCAAATCCCAGCATGAGTTAGGAGACTTTGACTCCAGATGCAAACCCTAGACTAAACATCCCAAGCCCGTACCATGGGACCCCCGGCCCTAAACCCGATGCCAGCCGCATCAGAAGCCACATCTGGGGTGGCTTGGGCCACGCGTCTCCGGGAAGCGTGCGCCATGGGCTTGGAACTCAGGCAGTGCTCGGCTTGACCATGGGATCTTTCTTACATGAAGATGGCAAGAAACAGCAACAAGATTGACAAGAATGCCCACTCAAATAGTACCATCCTTGAAACTTCGTCGACCCTAAGTCAGATCTTCCAAGACTTGCTTAAAGAATCGTCCAGATCCTGTCATGGGTTCCCACCCATACGATTTGGGCCTTGGTTTTTGAAAGCTTCTGTGGTCAGAGCACTAAGGCTGCAAAATAATCCGAAGGTGGCGGAGACCGTCTACAATCCCGCGCATGTGTTGGCCGTGTGCACTCTTCCAATGCCCTTTTCCTCGCGGCGTTCCCAACCAAGGACTATAGGCCAGTGCACTCCTAGTCTACTCGCGACGCGCAGATCTTCGGTTTGCTTTTGGGCCTTCGGCTACTCTTGAGGGCCCTTGCAGGTGATCTTGGATGCTGACTCCCAATCTTACACAGCGTGTGGTTCTGGGTTTTAGATTAAAGATCCATTGACCACAGCATATCCCGCACGAACCATGTTTTGTTCGAGCATACTGTGGCGTACTCTGGCCACCTGGGCTTCAGAAATTCTGTGCATTCGCGTCGAAGCACAGGCCCCCCGCAAGCCGCACCCAGAGCAGCCGTCGGTCGGGTCCTCAGCGGGCCAGGTCTAAGCTAACCTTACCACAAGCATCCGCGAGCCATCACCGTGGCATTTGCCAAGACAAAAACCTTACCACGAGCATCCTCGAGCCATCACCGGGGCATTTGCCAACACAAAAACCTTACCACAAGCATCCGCGAGCCATCACCGGCGCATTTGCCAAGACAGAAACCTTACCACAAGCATCCGCGAGACATCACCGGCACATTTGCCAAGACAAAAACCTTACCACAA